TCGTAAAATAAAATCTTTTAAAGTATTATTAATGGCATTCGTGTATATTTGATTGATTACATGATTATTCTCTAAGGCTAATTTGTTAACAATTACGAAACATTTCTGTTCAATTTCTTCGACGAACTTACGGACTGATCCTGTGAATTGGGTATTGTTGAGTCGTCTAACTCCCTTCAGCTCAATCCAAGTCCTTGCCGCATTTAGTTTGGTCATCCCGGCATCGCCGCCGATCTGCATTTCTATAGCACTATAGAATACATGGGTCGCGGACATCCGTCGTTGGGTACAGCTGCAATATGAACTCAATCCTTTTAACGAATGAGCTTAATTCTTGTGTCACTCCAGTGAATATGGGCACTTGTCTAATTTGACCGAGTGCTTGGTTGACGTGGATTTCCGACAGTAACTACATTTGTTGCACTGGTTCACCTGGCTGTTGCATGTTGGGATGTGTTGTTTGCTGTTGCTTATCTTAGTCAGCGCATTTTGCACTGGGGTTTTAAAATTTGTCACTCCTCGTAGCGGTCACGCTTTTTGATTTGCTGGCTACACTTAACACACTCCAACACAAAACCTTCAGTTGCCCTTTAGAGGTTTTGAAGTTGCAGCACTTATTTAAAATTTTAACACTTCTAGTAGCGGTCACACCTTAATGGTGGGCTATCGAGTTGAAGTGATTTTAATAACTTTTTTAAGCACTGGCTGTATGGCGAATTAGTCACTTCTCGTAGCACTTTGTTGTTACGAAGTTGAAGCTTTTAAATCACCCACGAAGATTCTTTTGCGGGTCACTATCACTAGGACCACCGACTGCGCCAATAACGAGTTTACGATTGCAAGTCGTGAAAAAAATATATTTTTTTATTTCAAGACAAAAATACAACTTTGAATCGGAGACAATTCACGTCTTAATGGTAAAGTGGATGAATTAGATCTGAAGATGGAGTGCAAGTTGAACGCTTAGCAAACCCTTGGCCTTATTTGTTTATATGGAGCACAAGTGGCTCTCTTCTATGTTTAAGTGGACTGCGCTCTTTTAAGAGAGTTGCGCATGGAAAATTACCAGGCAGGGATTTGTGCTGCGTTAGCAATTTGGTTGCTTAGCGGGAATAACAAATTCGGTATCGGCGGATGTTTATGTCTATAAATCAATTGTTTATGTTAACGTGGCCGAAGTTTTTATTGTCACCAAGAATTTGGGGTCTGACTTATGTGTTGCTATACATTTTGATATTGTGTGTGTGTGGTCAAGTGGTACTGTGGTACATATATAATACGTTTCTGTGTGTGACTATATATTCGTTTGGCAAATATCTCCCTTCCGCCCTTTTGTCTTTTGAATTTCGCGGCTATGTACAAAGCGCTACAGAGCTCGTATCTGGCAATACAATACATCATTTGAAAGGTCTTGACATAACCTACAAAACGACGATATTGCGTTCAACAGTTATAGACGTGTAAACATGGAGTTCACTAACGCCGAAATTCGCGCTATTTTAAAGTTTTCCTTCGTTAAAGGCAAATCCGCCAGAGAAACGTTCCGTGAGATTAATGGTGTTTTGGGGGATGGTACTCTATCACTTCGAACCGCGGAGGAATGGTTTCGACGATTCAGAGCCGGTGAAAACGACACCATGGATAAGCCAGCCGGCGGAAGACCTGTGACGACAAATACCGATCAAATCATGGAATACATCGAGTTAGACCGGCATGTGGCATCTCGTGACATCGCCCAGGAGATGGGAGTTAGTCACCAAACCATTTTAAACCATCTGCAGAAGGCTGGAAACAAAAAAAAGCTTGATGTTTGGGTGCCGATTTGACGCAAAAAAACCTTCTGGACCGAATCAATGCCTGTGATATGCTGCTGAAACGGAACGAACTCGACCCATTCTTGAAGCGGATGGTGACTAGCGACGAAAAATGGATCACATACGACAATATCAAGCGAAAACGGTCGTGGTCGTAGGCCGGTGAATCGTTCCAAACAGTGGCCAAGCCGGGATTGACGGCCAGGTAGGTTTTGCTGTGTGTTTGGTGGGATTGGAAGGGAATCATCCACTATGAGCTGCTCCCATATGGCCAGACACTTAATTCTACAATCTACTGCGAACAACTGGACCGCTTGAAGCAGGGGATCGACCAGAAGCGTCCAGAATTGGCCAACAGGAAGAGTGTAGTGTTCCACCAGGACAACGCCAGACCACACACTTCGTTGATGACTCGTCAGAGGCTACGGGAGCTCGGATGGGAGGTTTTATCGCATCCACCATATAGCCCGGACATAGCGCCAAGTGATTACCACCTGTTCCTGTCCATGGCGAATGCCCTTGGTGGTGTAAAGTTGAATTCAAAAGAGGCTTGTGAAAAGTGGCTGTCCGAGTTCTTCGCAAATAAGGAGGGGGGCTTCTACGAGGGAGGTATTATGAAGTTGCCATCTAGATGGAAGCAGATTATCGAACAAAACGGCGCATATTTGAACTAAATCCGATCACTGTAACACTTTTTATAAGGCATTGAATAAAGAGCAAAAAAGCGAAAGGGATCAATAGCCGAGTCGATCTGGCCATGGTCGAGTTCGTTCCGTTTCAGCAGCATATCACAGGCATTGATTCGGTCCAGAAGGTTTTTTTGCGTCAAATCATGCGGCACCCAAACATCAAGCTTTTTTTTGTTTCCAGCCTTCTGCAGATGGTTTAAAATGGTTTGGTGACTAACTCCCATCTCCTGGGCGATGTCACGAGATGCCACATGCCGGTCTAACTCGATGTATTCCATGATTTGATCGGTATTTGTCGTCACAGGTCTTCCGCCGGCTGGCTTATCAATGGTGTCGTTTTCACCGGCTCTGAATCGTCGAAACCATTCCTCCGCGGTTCGAAGTGATAGAGTACCATCCCCCAAAACACCATTAATCTCACGTAACGTTTCTCTAGCGGATTTGCCTTTAACGAAGGAAAACTTTAAAATAGCGCGAATTTCGGCGTTAGTGAACTCCATGTTTACACGTCTATAACTGTTGAACGTCGTTTTGTAGGTTATGTCAAGACCTTTCAAATTATGTATAGTATTGCCAGATACGAGCTCTGTAGCGCTTTGTACATAGCCGCGAAATTCAAAAGACAAAAAGGCGGAATTTGACGGAGATATTTGATAGCCGTATATATACTTTATATAGTCGGAAACGCTTCCTTCTACTTGTTACATATTTTTCATCGAATCTAGTATACCGTTTTACTTTACGGGATTAAAATGGGCACAAAAAAAATAATTTAAAAAAAAAATTTAACTAAAACAACAAAAATTGAATATTTATAATAACAATTATTGCCGCACCCCAAATCGTTACGCTAAACGACAACAACCTTGCATGAATTTTTATTAGTTTCACACAATTGTTGAAAAAAAGTGGACCGTTAAAAACGAGGCTGATTCCTCAAAGCAAACGCTGCCATGGATTCAACTAAACGGATGCATACGGTTAAAATGCAGCGTGGTGTGAATTGCGCCGGGCAGCATGTGTAGCGAGATTATAGCGCAATGGGAAGAACCCGCCTAACTATAGAGGGTGTAAAGTAGCGAAAGACCTACAAAAGCGGCGGGGCCAGTGACAAACGATAAGAAAATAGTGACAAATAGTGACAGTAGTATGTGTGAAAACGTATGCAGAAATTGGAGCGCCAGAAAGGTAGTGTATCTACTGAGACTGTTTCAACAGTCTTTTCAGTTATTCTTAAAACATTCTTACCTGGAATGCCAATGGGCATGTTTACTCAAGAAAAAAATATTCACATATGTATGCTTAGTTTCTGAAACCCACTTGACGGCTGAATTGCGTGCAAAAACCAAATCGCTTCCACGCCTACTACGCTCTCCATCCGTCGGATAGAAAATATAAGAGGAGAGTTTATAAGAGATTACAAATAAGTACAGTACGCCTTAAACAATTAAAAACAATTCTTTTAGTATTTCTTCAATCTATCGTCAACCGCGCTACGCAAGGGAAAAAAGCTTATTTATGAGTTTTTCTAACTTCTACGAACCAATCTTTATAATATATATTCAAATTCGATCTGCCACTGATGGGAAAACATATATTCTTATTCACCGTGAATACGTAACTTTCGTCTACAAGTGGTATCATCAAACGGCATGAGTGCGCTTAGGAGAGGGTGTCTAATATAAATCATGTTACACGTTCTTATCAACAGCTGCTCTACATGTCAACGTAAAATTGGGACCAACTTTGTAACACGTCACATGGAGTGAAAATCAAAGGTCGTGAGTACGAGTATATCTAAACAAGAAAACATTTTATTTAACCATTTGAATCAATGGTCGCCCCATTGTGCTTCTAAAGGGAGGTAACTAACGTTGTTTAATCAATTATTTCAGAGGTATTTAGCCTTCTTTGCGTACGGAATTGAACTGCATTTATAAGCACGGAAAAATTATCTTGTTTCTTATAGGTAAAGTTTAAATGAAAATATTTGGTTTCATTGAGCGCTATTCGCCAAACCATTGTCCAATTATTTACCCGATTTAGAGCATACTGTAGTTGTTTCTTTGACCGTTTTACCCGTTGCCAAAAAGACAAGATGAATGTAGCTAACATGGTACCGTCCGTTTGCGGTACATCTCGAGTGTAAAGCAGACATAGTACCGGGCCTAGTGACACAGCTCTAACTAAGTTTCTTACCTATTCCTATTTCTGTAAAACTCACATTTATAAACCGCTACACATTATTCACTGATCAGTATATTTATGACGTAGGAACCCATTCACATGCATGCAAAAGTGTAGTGTAGTTTTATGTAATTCCTTCTACAGAGGTCAGCAACGATTATTAAGTTACTTTATCATATGATTGCCTGACCATCCTAATAGGATCATCCATGTTGAGAAATGAGTGGAATGGTTCTAAGTCTGTGACTGTCACTATTTGTTGACCTTTTGTTGAAATGTCTGCTTTTAAAAAATATTAGATTTCACTTACCAAAAATAACACCAATTGATAAAAGGAGTATGAATGGTCGTCGGCGTCCAACATTCAGTTTGCAGCGATCAGATAAAGATCCCAAAATGGGACATAGAAAAAATCCAACCAACGGAGATAAGGCCCATACCAGTGTCATATGCTGATGCTCAACTCCAATTTTTAAAAGTGTTGGGGAAACAAATGCTGTTTCGGCTGCATATGAGAACTCGATGCCCATAACAGCTGCAGAAACTCTGACTAATTCAGATCGTGTCTTTGTTCTAAAAATTAAACAAAAAATTCGTTGGTAATACCTGATTTCAAAAAATGAATTAATTATACATATATTAAACACAGTTTACGACCCACTAAAGTATAAGCCCCCTTCAGTGTTGTACGCCAACCAAAGACCTTAGAATAACAAGATGCGTAACGGCCATACATTGGTTTTCCACAATGCTGTTAATTTTTTGGCGGCGGAAATAATTGATTTTCCCCCGCTCGCTTAAATTTTAAGATAACAAAAATTAAAAATAGAATTCACTTGCTTGTGTGAGTGAAAACAGTATGCAAGGAAATGTGTATGTATGCATACTTGTGGTAAAAGACGATTTTCGGTTCGTAATCAATTTTGTTCTTAGAAACGAATTTGATTATGGTTTTGGTAAATTTCGTTTTATACAAAATATTATATAAAAATTGAAGACGTGACTACTATTTAAGATTTTTTTTTTTTATATTCGTTAGCTAAAATCTCCGCTCGAATTAAATACCGTTTACATATGTATGTTTATTATTAATAATATGTAATATATTTATTTTGTCAACAGTTTATATTAAACTGTCCTTCGATGAGACGTCCCTAAAAAGTTTGTTTGCTGGGCGGTAGGTCATTGCGGCGGAGTTCAAACATTCCGCGGTTCCCCGGCGATAGTCCTGAGGATCTTTGATCGAGCTCGTTGGACGATGTCCATGTTGCTATTGCAGGAATTTTCCCATAGCTGAGAGCCATAGGTCCAAATTGGTTTCAGTACAGAGTTGTAGAGTAGTACCTTGTGGTCCGGACTTAGCGGGGAGTGTGCGTTGATCTGTCAGTGCAGAGTATTGATTATGAATTTTAAGTGGGTTTTTTGGCTTCAGTATGCATGTGCCAAGTGAGACTTCTGTCGAGCTGTACTTCCATGTATGTTACCTCATGTACTTTCAGTATCACTGTGTTGTTTAGCGAAAGTGATGGACAATCCTGCTTGTTTAAAGTAAAGGTGACGTGCTTGCTTTTTTGTTCTTTTACTTATATTCTCCAATTTGAGAGCCACTTCGCAGCGTCCACCAGGTGAAGAGCACTGATGCTTGGATCGGGCATCTGGAACGGCTAAGAATGGCAGTGTCGTTGGCAAAGGTAAATATTGTCAGACTTCTGCTTGTTGGTAGGTCACCTGTGTATAAGAGGTATATAGTGGACCCAAGAACGCTGCCTTGGGGGACTCAATTTGATGGTCATTGGATATAGCAGCATTGCTTCTCACTGCAAACTTCCTTTCGTAGAGGTATGACTTGAGTAGTTTGTGCGTGTATTTGGGTAGTTTTAGCTTAATCTTGTGCATAAGTCCGTCTAGCCACACTCTGTCGAATGCTTGGGATACATCCACAAAAACTGCTGTGCAGTATTGTCAGTTCTCGAATGCGGTTCTTATTTCTGTTGTTATTCGGTTAACCTGTGGTGAAAACCAAATTGATGTGGTGGTATTATGTTGTGAGCTCTAAGGTATGGGTTGAGTCGGGTCAGTAGGCATTTTTCGAAAAGCTTTGAGCGACATGAGAGTAAGCTTATGGGTCTGTACGACGAAGCAGATGTCGGATCCTTTCTGGGCTTAGAAATCATTATGATGATTGATTTTTTCCATCTGCCTCAGAAGTAACCAACTCTAGTTATGGTGTTGAATAGCAAATGACGAATTAAGGCAGTTCAATGATCATTTTTTAAGTTATGAGGTCGCAGCCGGCGGATTTCTTTGGATAATGTGCTCATTTATGGGTTTTAAAATTTCTCTTGGTTGTTTTTCTCTTGTTGGTTTTGGTAATGTAAATGCGTTAGTAGCCTGGTTTGGTTGCAAGACTTTTTGTAGGTGAGCGGCAAATGTACTGGCCCTGTCTGCATCACTGCGAGTCCAGCCGCCTCTGGAACTTCTTATTGGCGACAAGGTGACGGTCGGTGGACAAAGTGTTGGGTGAGTTCTCCACAGTGAATGCTTTGTGCTTGTTGTTGATAGTTTCTTTATGTATCGACGTTTGGCATGCTCCTCTTCTTGTTTCAGGTCTTTGGTTAGCTTATTTTTGGCATCTCTTAGCTGCTGATGTGTTTAGCTGGATAGATGGATCAGTAAATTTGCCATTCACCGACTATGCGTCGCTTTACATGGACTAATTCCTCGATTTTTTTATTTGCCTTTTTTGAATAGGGATCTTTTATGTTAGTTTGAGGAGTAGAAGATTGGGCTACTGCAACAAGAATGGATTCAAGTGTTGTGGGTGATTTGTCAATGTCGGTTTCACTATTGAGTTGTGGGCTTAGATCAATGTGTGAACTAATATATTTTCTATACTTGAGCAAGTTTGTTTTGTGAGACGTCAATCTAACAGTTTCTTCTACCGTTTTGGTAGAGAACATGGATGAGAAATGGGGAGTGATCTAATGATAGCTCTGGAGGTACGTGGGACTACCAGGAGAAACATTGTCAAGTTTGTTGTCTGCTTTTATTAACGTGTTGTATAGCTGCTTTTCTTTTGGGTTCACGAGGCGCGATCGCCAATGTGTGGGCTCAGCGTTTGAGTCTCCTGCAGCTAAGAAATGATCTCCAAGTGATTTGAAAAAAGTAGTTGTATTTGTTTCTAAGGTGTGTTTCCGAGATATCGATGTGTTTTTCGAATGGGAATTGAGTTAGTTCAAGTGTACGTTGTGAAACACCATTAGCGTTCCACATAGTTATACGTTAAAAGCCATTATTTATTTGGACTGTTGGATACAAGCATTTGTATTTGGATGTTTTGTTTTCTCATCATGTCTTGCATGGTGGTTCTCATAAACTCCAACATGCTTTTTTGCAGGGTGTACATCATGGCATCTATTGTCATTCCATTTCATTTTTTTCTGATGATTTTGGTTCTTGGTTCTTGGGCTGAGGGCAGCTGTCCAGTTTTTAAGGCAGTTCGTACTTATGCGGCTCTTCTACTGTGATTTTAAGATGCAGAAGAAACTGTAGCTTGTAGATTGGATGAGTCTCGTATATTTTTAAGTGTTTGGTTTCAGGTTCGAGGATAACCTTAAAGACCCTCGCTGCTTTTAAGCTGGTAGGTGTGACCTTCGAGTCGACCCGAAGTATTTAAATGTTAAACATAAATGAATTTCCATGTTCCCTAACTGAACTAGTTTTATAACTATTGCTTTCGATATATTTTCCTTCTTTTTTTATTAAATATATTATATTTTGTTTACTATATAAATATATTTAATTTCAGTGGTTAATTATTTAAATATATTTTAACATTGAACTCATTTTTTTATTTATGAAATAGAAAGCTTATTTTAGATTTCATTTTTTTGTCTCAGCTATCGCAGTTCACTTGCAATGCTTAAAAGGTAAACCTATTATAAATTTGTTTAAAATATCAATTTTATGCACATAACACTAAATTATTATGTTACTTTAATAAATACATACACTTAAAAAAAATATATAAATTTTATGAAAAAAATGCATATTTAAAATTAATATTTACATATAAAATAAATACAAATACATATATACATACAAATAACGCACTCTGTCTGGCTATTGAACAAAAATTCGAGAGAGCCTAAAGCCAGCACAAAAAAATAGTGTGCAAGAAAATCGTATGGCGTTACCCATCTACCCAATAACCCAATAACAATATTATAATTAATATCTTTGGTTAAACCAATAAAAAAGCGCTATATACCCATTACTCATCTAAAGGAGATGCAAGGGAGATGAAGATATACAAATGGGAACACATTGCGGTGGTGAAGTTCTTGAACATAGCTCGAATCCTGTTAGCATACCGATAAAAAGTTGATAAAACAAAAACATTCACAACGTTCAATAATGCGGCTGTTAAAGACTGCGCCGTTGGTGGAAACTATCAAAATTATAGACTTTCTGGCCAAGAATTAATAAAATTACGTTTATTCAGCTGACCGAGCACGCGCTGGTTCTGCCCCCATTTTTCCGTAGACTTAGAGCGAGGATTAGCTAGCGTCGCGGCAAGTCGCTCGGCACGTATCAACGAGCCGTATTTATTTCGCTTGCTATTATATGATCTCCACAATAATGGCTCACAAGGTGGTTGCTAAATTGTTTTATTATTATACTCGTTACTCGATAAAGATTCGTTGAAAACTACCTAACAGGCAGAAGGAAGCGTTTCCAACAATATAAAGTATATATATTCTTGATCGGGATCAATAACCGACAAACCGCATAAAACTGTCACACCCACACTTTTGAAAAATGTTGAGATTTTTTTTTTGATTTTCTTGAAAATTTCTATAGATTTGCCAAAATGCTTTTTGCCACTCCCACTCTAACGCCCACAAACTGCACAAAGCTCTCACGCCCACACTTTTAAACAAACTTTTAAGTTTTTTTTTATTTTAATATTTTTTTTCCCAATTTCTACCGATATTCCAGAAAATGTTGAAATTTCTCGCTCGCGCGATAGTCGACAATAGTCGGGGAACTCGATTATAGCATTCTCTCTTGTTATTATTGTTATCTTTTGTAAAAGAATTTAATATTCGATCACTATCACGAAATCAGTTGTTTTTTCCTTATATTAGAAAAGCCAAACGAAATATCTTTCGCTCTTCTGGAGTTACAAACTAAAAAAAATATAAGGGACGGTGCAATGCGCACAATTCGTTGTATCATAAAATAATATAATAAATATATATATATATGTATATATATATATGTATCATAATATAAAATAATATATGCCTATATATGTATAAGCAAACAAATAAAATACAAACAAAATATCTCTCCGAGTACTGAAGTTAATAATTTTGGCAGACATAAAAGACATTAGAATAACAAGGTCCACACACGATTTTTTTGTACACGATTTTTTGTGCTTGGTCCAGAGCTCGCTCTCCCGAATTTTTTTTCAAAAGCCACCCTGCACTTCCACAATTCATAGCTACTGAAAACATCCCAAAATCATCGACTACCCAGCGGAGCCAATGCTTCGGCTGCACAAC